CATTTCAGAGGGTGGTTGTGAACTGGGTAGCTCTGTCTCCCTCCATAATTTATTGATGTGAGTCATGAATAATTTGGAAGGTACAAATAAATTATTGAGCATGCAGAATCATTATTCATTAACTCTTCCTTCTTATACCCATAGCCTAGCATAGTCTGGCTGGTCCAGCCAGACTGGGTCTGGACCAGCCAGACTATGCCCAGCATATGTCACCTAGTTCACTCCAGGAAATGAGATGCAGAACAGATATAAAGCCTGAAAATTTTACAAAAATGTTACTTGAAAGAAAAGGAGTTGACTGGAAAATTGATGACAAAGAAGTTGTTTTATCAAATGTAGAACTAGGCAAAGGAAAATGGGGGAGAGTTTCTGTTGGCACCTTTCGAAGATGTTCAGTAGCTGTGAAACAGATGCACCAAGAAATTATAACACAGCAACACATTTGGAGAATGGACCGTGAGATTTACATACTATCGCAATTACATCATCCAAATATCATAAAGTTTATAGGAGCAGTATTTGATATGTCTTTCAATCGGATGATCATCACTGAAATAATGGACATTTCATTACTCAATGCTTATGAAAATCAAGAACTGACTCCAGACCTATCCTGCAGACCAGCCATTCTTTCCATAATGTGTGACATAGCTCAAGGTTTAAACTACCTACACTGTCTACCCGATCCTGTTATCCATCATGACATTGACAGCGATAATGTTCTCCTTAAATCAGTGGGAGGCAGAAAATGGAAGGCAAAGATATCTGATTTCGGGTCAGCTAATTTTGTTAGGCTTTCATATAATCCTTATCCAGGAGCCATTGCTTATTCAGCTCCAGAAACAGAAAGAGGTCTATATGAACAATTGTATAAGAAACAAACACCTAAAATTGACTCTTTTAGCTATGGTATCCTTTTGTGTGAAGCAATAACCTGTCAGTTTCCTGAACCTACCTTATTTCAGAGTCTTCTTCAAAAAGTCCAATTGAGCTCTGTATGATATAATCAGTTCCTGTATCAAAAAAGAACATCATGAGCAGCCTACTATGGAAAAGATTATGGAAAACCTGGACCAGATATTTTTTGTGTAGGCATTTAAGTATTATCATTATAATTAATAAAATCATATGCAATACCTATGAATAGCCCCTTTACACTATGCCCTCAATGCTGTTTGAAACTGACTTATCTAAACCACCTCAGGTAGGTGGTTTGACATAATCAGCTGTATTATGTATGCAATGTAGCACCACAGTTACATATGGGCACAATTAATCAGTTGGTTTCTGAACCGCTTTGAACCAAACTGGGGTACAGTCTCAAATGATCAGTTGGTATCTCAACTGCATTGATCCAAACTGGAATACGGTCTCAAAAGTAGACTGGACAGACCCACCCGGACCAAAATTTTTTTTGGCTAACAAAATTTTGGTGGACCTGTGCGGACACACCTTGT